TTAACAGAAAAAATGTAACTTGGTTGATTCTTCTTGATATCTCAGCATTTGTCATAAAATTGACCACAGTATCTTTCTGAACCACCTGAGAGGAGAATATAGGATACAACTTTTAGTGCTTCAGTTCTTATCCCTGAGGAGAATTTCAGGAAATATTGCCTAGAGACTATTGCTTCTCAAAGTGGAAACTATTATATCACATTTCCTAGGCCTCTATATTGTTTCTACTGTTTCTATTGTTTCTACTGTTTCTACTGTTTCTATTGTTTCTACCAGGTGGTGCAGTAATTGAAGTGTCGTATTGCAGACAAACTCTGCCCACAGCCTGGAGTTCGATCCTGACTGGGCTCAGTGTTGATTCAGCCCTTCATTCTTTTGAGGCTGGTAAAATGAGGATCCAGACTGTTGGGGGGGAATATGCAAATATTGATTACATTGTAAAATGCCCAGAGATTGTAAAATGCCCAGAGATGTATACTGTGAGGCAGTATATAAGCCTAAATGCTATTGCTATTTCATTTCAATATCTAATGAAATTGCTATATACCTACTGATGATAGTCAGATCTACTTTTCCTGTGATCTCCTCCAGAAATGATTTGGCTCCACTGAATATCTGCCTATAGTCAATAATGAGATGGATGAGGGGCAGCACAATACAAAGTATTCATTGTGATGTGCTGTCATTTCAGAGGGAGGGTAGATCAGCCTATTCTCAGTGGGATTGCATTCTCCCAAAGGAGAAGGAAGGAGGAGGAGGAAAATTCTGTATGGGGTTGACTCACTTGGCAGCCTGACTTTTAAGATTCAAGAAGTTTGTTTACATAGTCCTACAGATCAGTAGGAAGGTTAATCTACTCTATTCTTTCTAACAGATTGGTGATAGACAAAGTTTGAATAGTCAATTTGTTCAGCATGTATTTCCAACATTTAAATACTGAAGAAGGTATTGAAGAAGGCCAAAGACTCTTTATCTAACCCCATTGTGATTCAGATGAAAATGAAGAAACGTAATTACAATCTGAATTCTGCAGTTAGGAATCTATATTTTCATCTAAAAGTAATATTTTCAAAATCAGTAATAAAGTAATTTTGTTAATCAGTTCATCCTAGCTTGGGTGAAAGACTCCTCTCATTTGCAATCTGAAATGCCACTCTTTATTTAGATTCCACCACAGCAGCAATATGCAATGAACCCCAGTGTGACCCATTTGGAATATGATGAATTTATAATCTAGCACTATTGAACAATCACAGCTTGCCCATTGATTCTCTAATTTTTTCAGTAACATGATGTGAATGTTATTTATACCTATTTTGGCCAAGTATAAGCAACTGTATCAGAGTTTATTTTAATTTAATTATCTAGCTGAAACAGAAATTGTAACATTTCACAAGCAATTTTCTTCCATACTTTGCAAATTATGTTTTTTTTTAAAAAAAAGAAAGATTAGGCAATATAAACACAGATTTTAAATGCCTCTGTTTTGATTTAAGAAACACAGAATCGGCAAAAGTGTTTGTCTTCACATTTTATTCACACCTCAAGCACACTTATTTATTTCAGCATCTTTGCGGAGTCAATTTACATTTCTCATGCAAAAATGCATTCTTCAAAAACCCATTATCTTATGCTTCATTAGAGAATGGAGGGGTATATATTATCAGTTCATAAATAATGAATCCATTTTAACTGCTTCATTACAGAGGCATTTCACCAAGGGGCAATCCTAAGTATGCTACTGAATATGGACTTAATGGGGAACTGTAGTTGAATACTGATGTGTGTGTGTGTCTATACATACACAGACACATACATTGATACATACATACACACACACGTGTGTGTGTGTGTGTGTGTGTATACACCTATACATACATACACACATCATTATTCAGCTACATAAATTTTTATGCAACAAGAAAATTACTTTGATGATATTCACAAAAGAGTGATTACATAGTAAACAGAGATCAGATCATAATATGTGTCTAACGCCACTGTTGTAATATCAATGACAGTAAGCTTAACCTCCAATTAAAAAATAAATTGGGAGGAAAAATATTATTCTTTTTAGCTGATACAGTGTCTTGGTAGCCATACCAATAATAATTGATATGGTGTATTTAGGCACACTCTGTGCACAATCCACACTTAAGGATCAAAGCACAGTGGTAGGTTATTTTGGCTCTGTGAGGGAAAATTATTTCAAGTTGAAGGGAGCAAACCTCTGATGAGAAAGCTTTTTTCCCCTTCTGATTTAGCTCGTCTGTTACACAGAGTACTTTGTAAACCAACTTATATTTGCAAAAGAACAATAAAAACCTAGAAGTACAATTAAAATAATATCTTAACTGAACTATACTCTTCCTTCCTCTCCAATACTCCAGGCAGTTTTCCCAGTCTGTTATTCTTCAGAGATGTCCTGGACTTCAGTTCTCATAATCACTAATTAATATTATTGAGAACGAGATATTTGAGAAATCTGTCTTAAAGAGATGCTATCAGGTAGATTAAATTTGGAATGTTTTCTTTCCCACTCTCCTCTATATTCTTTTCTATGTATCCTCATTAAAATGTTCGTATTTTAATTTTGGTATCTTCTCTATTCCAAGACAGATAAATAATTTAATTATTAGCACAATCTTGTGTATACCTTCTGAAAAATAAACACCATATAGCTTACCTGGTCTAACAAGGTTAGGGCTGCAGTCTTATTAACAAAAGATAGAGTGCAATGTTGTCTCACACCATTTAGAGGAAGAAAATACTGAGTAATAGTCATGAACTTTTCAAGAAGAATTAGGAGTTCTGGGAATTGAGGGACACCATAGTTTCATTAAGACAGATTTCCTTGACCTGTTGTCAACAATGAGATCAGGGCCCACACAGGATGCTTTCTTAGCATTATCAACCAGAGACCCATTTCTTGTCTTCAGAATTTCATGTACAAAATTATGAAACTGCAACTTGTAAATCAGGCATTGCTGAAGCATTTGATTGGCTGATTGAAGGAAAGCGCTTCTGAGAGTTCTGTCTACATATAGTATGAACTTTGAACATGATGCTGGATATATTAAAAACAAATTGTAGACCCTGAGGGACTAGTGGATGATAGCCTTATATTGTAGCAGTATAGACAAATAACCAAAGAAGAAGAAATATATCTTGATAACCACCAAAGGGAGAGTAGATAGGTCACATTAGATTTCATAAGACTGAAACTGGGGACAGTAAATTAATGTAGTTCATAATGACAAATGCTACACTGCCAATTTCTAGGTGTTCATTATTGTTTGCGGGAAATTCTAGAATTTTAAATGTTAAACCTCAACCTTGCAATCCCCTGGCAACATCATTGGTTTCTCTCTAGCAAAACTAATAAGGAATCTCAGTGGATTCCATTGGGAGCCAATTTGGATGATTTTCTCCTTTATTAAAGCACCATAGAATAACCATCTGCAGAAAGTCCAGCTCACTTTTGCCTTCCTGAGGGAGGATGGGAATTGTGGCAGGAAATAAAGGGGCTCAACTCCTTAAATGTATGAAATGGCAAAGGATTTGGCCTTTGTTTTTTAAACTGTAAAACTAACTCCAATGCTCCCATCAGTGCTCAGGTGTTTGCAGAAAATGTCAGTTTCTCCCTCACTTCCTGAAATAGCTAATGCCTACGCAAAAATGTGGGAAAAAATGGAAAAATCTCTTATATTAAAAACTCTGGCTATGCTTTGGCAACTTCCTTCCTTGATGTTTATAACTGCTCAAGAATCCTCTGTACATATACCTTGTCATTCCTGGTAACTAATTCAAATTCTGCTCCACTCTAGTTATGTGCTTGCATTTAGAGGCAGAGTTCTGGACCAACACATTTTTATAGGACTTTTTAATCTTGCTCATTCACACTCATTCTTAATTTGAGGAAATATTTGCCCATACTACGTCTTGGATGGATGGACTACTCAGCCACACCATTTCAGCCAAGAGTCTATAAAAAAAGTAACACGTAATCACTTAACCCAGTCTAGGATGACTCAATGCTTACAAATAGAAGATTACATATGGTTTATTTTTTAGTTTTACCAAGCCAAGGATTTCAGTCTGTCAGTTGGAGTAAATAGAGATGAAAAACTATATTTTCAGATGCCAACAATAAAAGGTATAGATTTTAAAATGTCAATGCATTCAGTCAATTAAGTAATGATATTTGGAAGTATCAGACTGATACAAAGTAAGCAGCCTTTATCCCTAAGCAAATTATTGGTTTATCTATCTTAAAAATAGCCGATTCTCCTGATTGTGTAGAAGAATTGTGTATATGCGTAGTGGTCATGTACATCCTTCTGTGAAAAACAGATATGATAGACCAAGTCCATGTGCCAAGATCAGCATATTACTGTAGAGAAAGATGATAATACAGACTACATCCTTTTGCCATTCTCTTATTAATCTTTGATGAACTGATGGGTGATTCTACAAGACTAAGATTACTATGCTGCCATTCATGCAATAAGCTAGACTATAATTATGAGATGGTTCAGTAAAATTTATTACATTTCTCCCAGTTTTCCTACCTCCAACTACTCAGTCAGATAGAATTTAACTTTTTTTTAATTGCAAAAAAGTGAATAGTAAATTAATGATAGTCCCTAGGCAGGTTAACACATTTCAAACTATGAAATAATATCAAGACAAAGCAATATCTGTCTAAAATTATTTATCATGATGTGAACAAGCAGATTTAGTTAAGTGTGAAAGTAAAACAAGCTTAAAGTAATGCCAAAAGAGATGCATGGTTTGTGCATGAAACCTCACAGAATTGCCACCTCGTTTTAAATAATGAAATAAATCTTTGGAAACATTGTTATACCAGCCTATTTTTCCAAGGACAGAAAGTGGGCAGGGACATACCTTTCGATACATTACAAATATAAACCATCAATTTTAACTTAGTAATCCATAGCACTACTATACTGCAGGGAATACAAATTACAACCACTTACTCATTTCTCTCCAGACTGATGACAAGTTGTTCACTTTCAGCTTGTATAAGAAATTTCAGCATTGCTGGGTGAGTCTGAAAAATGAAATGGAAGAATACAAGAAGTCAATACAACAAAAGAATCTCTGCAACAAGTATAAAAGTTGTAAAATTGGGATAGAAAAACAGGAGAATGGAATTCAAAGTAAAGAGACAACAAAGAAATTTTCGAATTGAAACAAGAATCTAAAAAAATTCATTTAACTTGACAATTAAATTTATGTTAGGCAACTACAGGAACCCTTAAATATGTTAAAGGTACTTTTAATTTAGCACTTTGAAGAGATATTTGGTTAAGTGCTTGAATTGTCAGTCTTTATTCTGCTATAGACTTATGTATGAGTTTGTACTCAAGAACAGGAAATCTGTTCTTAATTAAAATCTTTCCCAAGTGGGATAGTGAATATATACATATATACATACACATATATACAAATGCTAAGAATTTAACATGATGGATATCTAGAGGAAAAAATACCATTGTATAAATATGACCTCTGGTCCCCAAATAACATAAAATTCATATTTCATTATGAAATGTAGACCCTTTTCCCATAGGTAGGTCGCACAAACAGTAAATGCTCTAGCAACTTCTGATTTGCCCAACTTAGGCATAATGATATGCAGCATTTTTAAACCGTGAATAAGAACTCTCCATTCTCTTTTTTCATTAATTTATCTAGAAATATTTGCCTCTTCCTTCAGGGCAGTCTTTCTGTAATGTCAGGACCAGTTAATATTTTCTTCATGCTATTCCTTTCCATTTCATTCACATTATTCATGAGTTTAGTCATAAAATATTTCAGTCACATGCTTCATTTTAAAATCTACTGCACAAAGAATTAACAAGACTTATTTGCTCATAGTTCTATCCACCTCTGCCTAAGAATGGTAGAATGCAATCATTGTATAACAGCTTTTAATATTTTCTCAGTAGATGTTACGCTATGACTAACATACTCAATTACTGATGTATTACCAAAAGAAGAGAATATCTGTAACCCAGGATTGAACTGTCGGGTTCTTAATGCTCTCTAAACTTGGTTGTTTTCTGGCAGATGTTTTATTGCCCATCTAAGTGATATCACCAGTGATGTACTCTCCAGAGTGGTGTTTCTTCAACCTTGGCAACTTTAAGGTGTAATCTGGCTGGAGAATTCTGGATATTGAAGTCTACACATCTTAAAGTTGCCAAGGTTGAGAAACACTGTGCTGGGGCTTACTTCTGTTGATACTGGTTTTTGTCAGACAAAACATGGATTCTATGGGAGGAAGGAAGGCACCAGTTTGAACGTAGTGGGAAAATAGTTTTGTGTTTACTCTGGTGGTAGAAGAGGCATCAGTACAGTGTGGTGTGGATTGCTCAGTTTTAAACTAGCCTAAGTTTCAATGTAATTTGACAAATCATAGTGGGACAAAAAGTCAAAAATCAAGGCTGATATAGATTGTTTATTTCCAAAGTCCTTTCATTATATAATGGTAAAGTCAGGACAAGGTTGTTCTTAGAATAATTTTGACAAAAAAAAAATCCATTTATGTTATTTCAATCCTCATCTTATAGAATTAAATTAACTAGAATAAGCTTATGTGTTGGGCAAGGATACAAAGGCAAGTTATTTTCAAAAACAAGGAGATCCCATACTCATTTGTCTGATTCTTTTGTTTTTCATAAATAAATCTTATAGGGAACATATGTGAGAGAAAATTTCCCTAATCAACACCCAAGGTACTGAAAGCTCTTCTTTAATTTTTACTCTTTTATATGGACTAATAACTATATTTTTACTCCTCTATTCATGAGGCCTTCCTTAGTAACCTAGAATTTGGTTTAATAATTTTCCCATGACCTTCTCCATGTTCTTTTGGATTATACATATTCCTTTTTAATGACGCATGCACAAATGTTGATGCTATGAGAGCTTTCACCCCCACATTTCAAAATACTAAACAGCTTCAGTGTGGAAGAAAGCTCTCTGTTTGCACTCTGAGGTAAAATCTCTTCCCCTAGGACTGTGTGGGAAAAGACAGAAGGTTTTCTTACACCAGTCTGTTGTGGGATCTATGAAACTGTCAGTGGGAATAAGTTTGATAAAAAACAATTACAGGAAACAACATTTCCCATGAACTCACAGAAAGTATTTTTACAATACAGGAGGATTCCAGGTGACACAGCCACACATGTACAAAAAGTCTCTGCTTTAAAAAAACCCACACATATACATATTCTAGAATTTATGCTCTGGAGATGACTATTTGATTTCTAAAGTTTATAAAATATTATTTTATAATAAAATTTAAATTAATACTATAAAATAGTTAGGATAAACTTGGAAGATGAATGTTTTGATTGTATGGTAAAATGGTTACAATGTTGGTTATAATGTAATGTTAGATCAATGGGAAAATACATGAATTAATGTTTTAAAGTTTACTTTGAATTACGGTTTGAAAGAAAATTTTTATAACATGATGTATCAATGAGATTTGACTCCAAATAGATTGGCAAGAATGAATAATGGAACTTCCAACAAATTTAATTTAATCAAACTACAGGTACATTTATACTTTATTGTTGTCAAGTGCAGGAAATCAAGGCAGTTGAAATGAATTGATTGTATTCTAATACTCTCTACAAGAATCTGAAGTACTAACAGATAAAGCAAATCCTGCTGCTATGCTTTCCTACCTTTCAGTTCCAGAAAAAAGAATGCCAAATGGGCTGGTCTTTATGCGTCTATACATTTGTGTGTTTGGGTAAATGTGTCCCTTTGTTTGAATTTATGGAGCCAATTAACATCTGAAATTTAGATGCAAAAAACTGAATAGTGTAGTCCTTCAGTTAACAGAGTGTAACAGAGAATATCAGCAACACAAATATACCGTGGGAATGGAGTACAATAATGGAAGCCATTTTGGTGATGAACAGGGATGAATACAAGGTGGCACAGTCAACTCCTGCCCTCTAGAAATGGTTGCTTACCCATTCTGGTAGTGAGGGTTAGCCCTTAGTCATCAAAATGTGAATCTAATTATGCCCTTTTTTTCTAAAAAAAAAATTTACACTATGTTTTTAGTGTCCTAATATAAGGAAATATTAATTATCAATTATTTTATTGTGTATCTCTATCTTTGTATCATATTATATATCTATAAACAATTCCCTTTTTAGAACATGAACAGATAAGAGATTAAGTTTTCTTAATATATGAAATAAATAAGTAAAATATATTTCAAAGAAGTATAATTCCAAGTGAAATTTGGTCTCTATGTTTTATTGTTATAGATCCCAAATTGTCCTTTTCATACACAAGAGTATAATAGCAACAGATTGAGGAAACTGCAATGTTTACAGTAATATGGAAAATCTTGCTTAATTAAATAAACAAACCGCTGAGGAGTCCGCATGCATGGAATAATTCAGACATTAACAGAAAGAACAATAAAAGACATATTTTGCAATTATTACAAGCTCCGCATCAAAGCATAGCCTCTTATCTAAGAGCATTTCATGTAATTTTTATCTTTACTGTGGACAGTTAAACACTAAGCAACTATTACATTATATAAATGCAATTGTTTCTTATGGTAGAATGTAAATAACACCCACTGACAGATCACTAGAACTGAGAATTTAATTCTTCCATTTTCCATAAACACTATAAAAATAGATTCATCTCCAAACCAGATGTTTACATGCAGGATATATTTCAATGGGGAGAAAATTAACAAAGAATATCTAAGCATCAGACAAAAGTTTTCAGTTAGGAACTTGGCAAAGGGGGGCAGGGGAATTTAAATTCCTTTCTTTACTCTTTCACTTAAAGTTTGATACATCCTTTTGGATTTTCTATTTACACTCTTGAAAATCAATCAATTAAATGTCATTCTAACTTCATCCCTAATTATTTCTAGATGAAAATAGGAACAAAGTTTCAATATATAAACTTCAATAGTTTAACTTTATGGTGGATAGATAATTAAATGAAAATATTAGCTACTTATAAAAGATTGCAACTTATTTGTATTATGATCTTAGAATGTCAAGTGATGTCAACTTTATTCTATTAATTCAGCATATATTTAGAATTCTGATTATAATACAAGCTGAATTTAATTTAATCGAAGAACTATCAAGACTTTGCTTCTCTGGATTAAAACTCAATGTTAGGTATCTTCATGCACTGTTATTTGATTACTTGCTTAATTAACGTATTTTTCTCTTCTTTATTTCAAGTCAAATCGCTATGACTCATTACATGGGTTTTACGCAAGGATCGCTTTAGAACCAATTTCAAACTCTTGTAGCATCTCTCTATAAAATGAGCTTCTGGTGACTATTTTTTCCTTGGCTCATTGTAAGCCAGTCATTTTTGCATGCATGTTCCATATTTTTGCAGGAGTTATGTGGAATTTAGGTCAAAGTTAAGAGCAAGCAGTTAACTTTTTCTCTTAAATTTTCCATTGTTTTTTGCAGAACTTTTGACAGTGATAAATAGAATAAGTAAAAAGCCAGATATATTGCTGTTCATGTTTTTTAAAAATGAAAGTGAAATTTTACCTCTCATCTCACCAGTATATTTTCGATAAAGCATGAATCATTCAAACACTGTGTTTCCAAGGGACACAATGTTTATACATTGAAGGATTATGTCTACTGGAAAGTCATTTCAAAATTATATAATAAAATACACATAAAAAGAGGATGAATTGGTGTAAAGATAGAAATGTCTACAATATATATTTTAAAAGTACATTTTAACATCGTTTGGGTAAAATAGAAATTCCAAGGCCATTATTGGAAAATCTTGTTATATAGAACAATAGGAAAATATTAACAATATTTTTTAATTGTTAATCACCTGAAAACATTAAGTCTAATCTTTAAAAGGCAGATAGTTAGACTCGCATTTTGAGAACTACTATGTTTTGAGAGTTTTCACATCGTATAGATCTTTTCATAATATTAAACCTTAAGGATTTTTAAGCGCAATGGAATGTTAGTAGACAAAAGTGATCAAACCCTTAAAGTGTTAACA